TAGGTTTTTAATAAATAAAGAGTCTGAAATTTCTTATTAGTTTTAATAAGAAGCATTGCAGTTACAAAGGTATATTAGAGCTGTGCCAACTTTTGTTGAATAAATTTTCACCTTATTTATGTTGAATTCTTCTTCCGAGTCTTTGAAGATACATATTCTGAGTTAAAAAGCTTTATACTAGGTATCCCTTCTACTAATCTACCTATGTCCAGTGCTGGTAGGCAAAAATCTAAGATAGCCCCCAAGATCTCCACTCCCTGGTGTACGCACACCTTCTCCCAGTTGTTCAATCAAATACTAATTTAGATGCCGATGGAAGGGGTTTTGCAGATGCAATTAATGTCCCAAATCAACTGACTTCAAGATAGGGAGATTGCCCTGGGCAAGCCAAACCTAATCAGTTGATTCTTTAAAAGGGAAAGGGCTCTTCATGACAGAGAGATTCAAAGCACAAGGGATTAAAAATGAGGGAGACTCTTTATTGCCGGCTTTGAAGATGGAGCCAGCCATGTGGCAAGGAACACAGGCAGCCTCTGGTTACTGAGAGCAGCTCTTGGCTCATAGCCAGCCAGGAAATAGGGACCTCAGTCCCTCAACTGCAAGGAGCTGAATCCGGCCACACCACATGAACTTGGAAAAGAACCCCAAGCTCCAGATGAGAATACAGCTAAGCTGACATCTTGATTTTAGCCTTGTGAGACCCTGAGTAGAGAATCCATCCTCACCGTACCCAGACTTCTGCCCTATAGAATGTGAGATAATAAAGGGGTATTGTTTTTGCCACTAAGTTTGTGGTATTTTGTTACTCAGCAATAGAAAATAAATCCAGTAGGATATGCTTACACTGAGATGTCACCTCTACACCAGTAGGATATGCTTACACTGAGATGTGACCTCTACACCATATGATGTGGTGTGAGTCAGCACAGTTGGGATTTGCAGTATTCCTGGAAGCCTTTTCTACACTGGGCAACTAGCAATAATTCAACTACACACACGAGTGACTGAATAAATATTTCTTATGAAGATAAATGTGTTCCCAACTCAACTCTTCCTTAAACAGCACCAAAAAAAATAATAATAATAATAATAAATCTGTGGACACTCTAGCACCTCCCAACACAAGAGGCACAAGGGGAAGTGTGATTGATAGGAAGTCTGAGTGGAGAGAAAGAACAGAATTCATGGATTAAAGTTAAAATGTTTTACTTTTGCAAATTTTACCAAAAAAATTAAGAAAGAAAGGAAGAAAGGAAGGAAGGAAGGAAGGAAGGAAG